TAAAGTTTTTCTTCATTACCCATTCAAGCCGTCTCCAGCCATTATTCCATTTCTTACGCCATTACTTGATTTATCATTTAACGGGAATCAAAGTTTAGAATTTTTATCAGTTGCAAAACTATGTGACAAATAAAGGCTTAACCTTTATCGTTCATAGATGTTGACAACTGTTAGTTTGTAGGATGGATTTAGAACTAGTCTAAATATCCTAAGCTGGCGGAACTTCGTGAACATTTGAGTCGGATCAACTATAGTGCGGAAGCATGTGTTTTCTTATTTCGCTACGGGAGGGCGCTTCATGATTAACTATCTCGCGATATTATTTTTCATTATTATTGTGGTAGTCATATCTTCATTTTGACTGTGAATACGATAGTGGATAATGAACAGTAACAGCATTCTTCTAGTGTGGAAACGTTATATGCACTAATTTTCTAAACTACCCAGCACAGCTCGACGAGGTTGTTGCCATTGCAATATATGCTTTGTTTATATTAGTCATGCGCAATGTATGCTTGTAAAATACACATAAAAATCTAAAATTTATGTTGCTGCATCGACGTTCGACATTTTGTGTTTGTTTGAAGTTAAGCACAAAACTACACAATGGGATATCTGTGCTCTACCCATCATGGGTATCGAAATTCGGTTTCTAGCGTTGTAAGTCCGCAGATATACCGCTGTGCCACTGGGAGGGGGCGACATTTTGTGATCTCGCAAGTCCATAGTTTAGGAATACTTCAGTTAGGCATATAACAGGATCACAAATTAGCATCATTTTCATGGATTTACCATATCAAATCCAGTGTTTAGAAATATTTTACACAATAGTTAAATAACTCGATCATAAACTAGCATCATTTACTGTACTTAAACCGTAAAGTCCAAAGTCCAGAGATATTTTATGCAATATATAGTTACACAAATAACTGGATCAGCATTGTTTTCATGGGTGTACAACATTAAATCCACAGTTTAGAGAGATTTTTATGAAATAGTTGCACAAATAAATCGTTTCCATGGATTTACAGCATCAAGTCCAAAGTTTAGGATTACTTTATACAAAAGCTCTAATCGTATATTCACCAGTACTCAAGTGACTGAGTTATTAATAGATTTCTGATTCTTTAATTTATTGAATAGTTTCTTTCGATCTAGTGAGGTCATGATGAAAAAATGTCTTCTTTCCAACAAATTAAAAAGTAACCTAATATCTTTAAGTTTATCTTATAACATAAAAAACAAATAATATTTCACTTCCACGTATTGATGGCATATTTTAGAATAAACGACTAGTTAAGACAAAATATAAGTTAATAATATTAACTTAAACTCTGTTTTTCAGGTAAATATTTTTCTCCGCCTCCACCTTAAGTCTTCAGACCTAATGTCTGATGCATCTTCAAGTTTCCATAGCAAGGTGCTATTTGATCCACAGTCATTTACTTTGGATACTGAGATAGAAGAATTTTGTACAGAGGGAAAAGAAGAGAGTGACACAAGCTCAGTTGTATTACATCCAGCGCCATCAGGTGAGGAAGCAAGAAATGAATATTCTAACCCGAATCAGAAAGACTGGGTTGAAACCCATTCTCGTCTATACAGATCAAAATCTTTTGTTCCTAAAGTAAATCTTGGTACCAATCAACTTCAAAGACCTTCTGGTATTGCTGTATCTCCTTGGTCTGATGAAGTGTTCGTTGTTATCATGGACAACCACCGCGTCGCCGTATTTGATATTAACACTGGGAAGTATCTACGATTTTTTGGGAGAAGAGGACATAAACCTGGTGAGTTTCTCTGTCCATTTGGTGTTGCTTTGTCACAGACAGAACAAACGATCTTGGTCACAGATAAATGGAAGCACTGCATCCACGTGTTTAGAAAAGATGGAAAGTTCCAGAAGCAGATCGGTATAAAAGGGAGGTCTTCTGGACACTTTAGGAGTCCTGAGTCTATAGCTGTCGACCAGTATGGCACAATCTATGTCTGTGATACTTGCAACGACCGGATTCAAGTTTTCGATAAAGAGGGCGCCTTTGTACGCGAGATGGGTGTGAAATCTCTTACCGAGGGTGATAGTGTTCGACAGCGCAGCATGTTCCACCAGCCAACGGGGATTGCTGTTACTCCTGATGGACAAAGAGTGGTCGTCTCTGATTTTGGCAATCACAGGATACACGTTTTCTCTTCCGATGGAGACTTGTTGTTCACATTTGGCCAGAAGGGTACTCAGCGCGGACAGTTCATCCACCCAGAGTGTGTGGCCGTAGATAAGAAAGGGTTCGTCTTTGTTGGAGACAGTGGAAACGGGCGAGTTCAAATATGTCGACCAGATGGACGATTTATCCGCTCGTTTGGTAGTAAAGGTTCTCACAGCGGACAGTTCAGTTGGATTTCCGGAATCGCAGTCACAGATAATTATGACATTATAGTCACCGACTTCAAGAATCACTGCGTCCAAATATTTTAGTACAGACGGGGATCAATATATAATTGTTATTAACCTAGAACTTTCAAACAGGTTTTTTCATATAATTAAACTCAGGCAGGTTTTGGAATGTTAAATCATGTATTAAGAAGAAGCGTTAGGTCGGGAATGTCAAGATGGCTTCAACTCTTATCGTGATGACATAACTTTAATTCTTTAAAACATGTATCAACTTATATACAAGAGTTTTCATCTTCATTTGTTTAAGTCGCTGTTGCTGTATAAGATAGAGAACCTGAATGTTTTTATCGTTACTGATAACACTGTATTAAATTAAAGACTATTAAAACACAAGTCATAAGTCATAACTTGATCATTTGTTCGAAGCCCTTAAAAACTGTAAAATACGCTTTATGTAACGTTTGAAGCCCTTAGAAACTGTAAACATACGCTTTATGTAATATTTGAAACCATTAAAAACTGTAAACATACGCTCTATGCAATGTTTGAAGCCCTTAAAAACTGTAGCCATGCGCTTTATGTAACGTTTGAAGCCTTTAGAAACTGTAAACATACGATTTCTGTAACGTTTGAGGCCCTTAGAAACTGTAAACATACGATTTCTGTAACGTTTGAGGCCCTTAGAAACTGTAAACATGCCCAAACATTAAATACACTATTTACAGGAACACTGACGGATTTTTATAAGAGATGGCGCTACAATCAAGATAATCTGAATTGTAACAATAAATTATTTACATACTGTGACACAAACACTAATACTTACCGCCATCTTTTGGAGACAAAATACGATAAATACTGTTTTAAACAATAGATTTAGCTAAAAATATATACAGAATACGGTAACTATTATCTTTAAAAGGTATGGATACGGCTTCGGTCCTTTTAATAAAGCGAATATAATCTAGAATGTACTTGAACGTTGTTACTGACCTGCAATCCTGTCCACTTCACAATTCTAGACCTTTACTATGATAAACATGTGACAATATTGAATACACTACTCAGCAGTTCTCACACTGTCCGAAATGGATCCCAAAAGTACGACAATTACTGATTGACCAGCACAATCACAGGATTTAGTCAACTTACCAGGACTGTTATCTGAGAACCAGTTGAAGACCATGTCCCTCAGTGAATATATGCTATGAAACATGACGTTATCTGGCATCTTGCAGGGACTATGCCACGCCTATGTCCCTCAGTGAAAGTATGCTATCAAACATGACGTCTTCTGGCATCTTGCAGGGACTATGCCACGCCTATGTCCCTCAGTGAAGGTATGCTATGAAACATGACGTCTCTGGCATGTTGCAGGGACTATGCCACGCCTATGTCCCTCAGTGAAGGTATGCTATGAAACATGACGTCTTCTGGCATCTTGCAGGGACTATGCCACGCCTATGTCCCTCAGTGAAGGTATGCTATGAAACATGACGTCTTCTGGCATCTTGCAGGGACTATGCCACGCCTATGTCCCTCAGTGAAGGTATGCTATGAA